GCAAGAGTGCTCTCCTTCTCCAGTTGGTGACATTTTACACTGACCCCTGGTGCTATCCAGTGTTCTGGTTTGTCATGACGCAACAGTTCAGACAGAGTGACAGTGGCACAGTTGTGGCCGAGCTGCAGGGTGTTTGACTGCGAAATGTGTCTGGGTCAGAGACGACAGCGTCCTGGTTGATTCAGCCTCCTGGGATCCTGATTTGGTCAAACCAGGCAAAGATTTTCATTTTCTGCGCTGGTTTGAAGGGAAAATACTGCACTCTCAGTACATGAAAGCATGACGAAAATAGCCTAGATATTAAATCAGTAAATATGCAAGGCATTCCAATTGTGAGGAAATCTGCAGAGCTTTGTTTGGACCTGAGGATAAGCCACAGACATGTAAAGCATCGCTGCTGTGTCTGCAGTGTGGTCATCTCTAGTGTCCGCCCACAGCACTTATCCAATTATATGGCAGACTAATGACCAAAGTATCCATTCTCTCCTCTGCTAGTTCAGCTTTCTGAAGTTGTGACTGTTTAATGGCATCTCTTCCGATTTGGACTCAGTGTTCTGGTATATGGATTTCAGGTAAAGCTTGTTCATGCAATGCTGCCAATCACAACAATAAGCCAGAGTCCTAAACAGGTGGGACACCAGGGTTTGTGCGCCATTTGAGGATGTTTTTCAGTTCCAAATTAGTTCCTGAATGTAATTTAAATTCAGACTGATGTAGAAGACTTTAAAATGAACTGAAAAATCATTTAACTTAGTTTTTAAATAGTTTTTCAAAATATACACTACCATTCAAACATTTGGAGTTAGTATGAATGTATTTTGGGAAAAAAAATCATAATTTTATTAAGTAAGGATGCATTAAAATGATCACATGTAACAGACAGTAAAGACATTGTTACAAAAAATGTATCACCGTTTCCAAAAAAAAAAACATATAATATATATATATATATATATATATATATATATATATATATATATGTATATATATATTTAAAATAAGAATAATAAGAAAGGTTTCTTGAGCACCAAATCAGCATATTAGAATGATTTCTGAAAGATCATGTGACACTGAAGACAGGAGTAATGATGCTGAAAATTCAGTTTTGCCATAAGAAATTTTACATTTAAAAATTATTATTAATATAGAAAACTTATTTTAACTTGTAATACTATTTCACAATATTACTGTTTTTACTGTATTTTTGATCAAATAAATGTAGCCATTGCTGAGCACTAAGAGACTTCTAGTAGACTTCGGTAGTGTATTTATTTGTATTTAGTTTATATATATATCATATTTAATACATTAGAAAATATTTAATGTTTATCATACAACAGTTAGTTACATTTAGGAATGGGACAAGTGACTCTTTTTTGAGTGAGTCACTGAATCATTAATTCAACTGATTTGTTCATTTATAAACTTTGATTCATTCGAAAACACCACTACTACGTGTTGTTTGCAAGTAGCTAGCAAAATTCAAATGAAAGAACTTTTAATTTCTTGCCGCTTTATCGCACCTGGTTAGGACGCATTGAAGAAAGTATTCAGCTACCTACATAAAGTTTGTTTTAATTTGCTTATGGTCTTGCTAAATAGGGACAGTTTGTTTTCTTGGCTCCTAAAGATATTTATCGCACACCCTTATTTCACAGCAATTTCACAGCAAAACAAACAAGTCCAGATATCAGCACTGTATAAATAATTCATCAGTTCACACAGTAAATCATTTTATGTAGCTTTAGTTTATCTGCGTTTGAGTTGTTATCTGTCACTTTCTCAATCTGTCTCTTTCTCTCGCTCTATCATCTCTCACTTTCTCTCTCTCTAGACCATATCTGATCAGATCTCCTAGTGGGTGCCGTCTGCCCCCATCTGCCTCAGACTACCTTGCTCCATGTTCCCCATGGAGCTTGCCATCATTAATATTGCTTTCACATGTGTGTTATGAAAAAACCCACCGGTACTCACCCGCACCTGCTGCCGGTGCTGTTGGGTGATGCTTGGGCAGAGAGGGAGAGACACAATGTCTTTAGAGACTTTGAGCTAATGGATAACATGTTGAAACAGATGTGGAATTCAACATTCAGTGAACATGATCAATAATGTGGAAATAAAGCATTTTATGTATGTGAGAGGAGGTGAGGCTGAATCGTTTGCAGCGTTTTGTAGCTTTTTCTTAAAATTTTGGCTAATAAATACCTCTGCTGAAAAGACAGCTTGTTTAGTCCTGGTCTGGGCTGATGGACCAGCATAGTTGTGTTTACCAACAAATAATGAAGCATGGCTTTTAATTTAAGCTAGATAGTTCACCAATAATGATAATCCTGTCATCATTTACTCGCCCTCAAATTGTTCCAAACATGTATGAGCACAAAAGATGATGTTGATGGTAGCCATTGACTTCCATGGCATGGAAAAAATAGAATGGAAATCAATGGCTACCGTCAACTTTTTGGTTACCAACATTCTTCAAAATATCTTCTTTTGTGTTCAAACTCTTACAGGTTTGGAATGATGTCAGAAATGATGACAGAATTTTCATTTTTGGGTGAACTTTTCCTTTGAGAAGCGCGGTGTGGGCAAAGTCCCTTTCAAGGAAAGTCTTTTCACTCTGCAGCCATATTTGCTACGCCTCCAGGCAGCTCGAACATGACCAAGTCCTATCTAAATGAATGGGGGAATCCTGAAATCTCAAAAACTGTACGCATATGACTGCGCGTGCACATTGGCTGGTCTAGCCTCAGGTTTCTATGGGAGCCGGAGCTTCTAACGGCCGCTGCATTGACACAATGACTTTACCAATCAGTGATTGGCTCTTTCATTTAGAAGGCGGGACTATTTCGTCAAATTGCGCGTTGTAGTTTCTCCCATTCATAAGAGTGAACGTCTTTGTATTTCTGTAGTCTTTGGTGTGGGTCACCAAGTATCACATTCTGTGGTACAACATAGAAAAAAACAAAACAAAACAAAAAAAAAGGTTTAAATAAAACATCGGAGCACATTTTACAGGAAAATACTATTTCAGTCTTTTTACTTTAAAATTTTAATGTATAATGTTCAATGTGTTACTTGTTGTTCTTTGTGATTATTTGTAAAATTTATTAGCAATTTTTTTCAGAAAGTAGTATTTTTAGTTAATGTATAAATGTAAATGTAAATAAAATCCAAATTATATATTTATTTTATTATATAAATAGGTAATATCTAGCTTTTGAAATAAAATGTGTGATTAACATTTTTAAGTCAAGGGTTTTTGGTTTATTTGGCATATTAAAATTATTGCAAACCAATAAAATCATGTTTATCATGCTTTAATGCATTAATTCCAGTTTCTGTGAATTTATTCCTAAAAATATCAGAGCTGACTTGGTGAAAACAAACTTTTTTTAGTGATGACACTTGCCTTTTAATTCATAATGTATTCAGTGCTATACGAAATGCACTGATTTGTAAAACAGATTCAGGGACTAACTGTGTAAATGTGGTGTGCAGGTAAGCAAACACTGTAGAACAACATAAATTAACACACTTAATTAAGACAGCTTACAGGCACATTTATCTCACTGTTTGTGGTAAATTACTCTCCAAGCTTTGCTCTCCATTATGAGTTTCACCTACTAGCTTTCATGTGTTTTCTTCTAATAGCTGGAGAGCTCCAGCTACTGTGTTGGATCAAAGACGACGTCTACGGCTTCCGGGCCATGAGTAGTTTTAAGGGCCAGGATGTGGAAAAACAAGGCATCAAGCTGCCAAAAAAATGGATTGATTCCAATGAAAAAGTAAGTTCAGATTCACATTTACTCTTCTTTTGTATGAATTTTGGGGAAGCTACTTTGCAACTGTAACTTGTTAAGCAACTACTCGTAGTTTAGCTACATTCAAGCTAACCAGTAACAAAAGTAGCTAAATACATTGAAAAGTTACGGGTCAGTAAGATTTTGAAAGAAGTCTCACCAAGGCTGCATTTATTTAATAAAAAATAAAGTAAAAACAGTAATATTTTGAAATATTATTACAGTTTAAATTAACTGTTTTCTATTTTATATATTTCAAAATGTAATTTATTCTTGTGATGCAAAGCTGGATTTTCAGAATCTTCGATTCTTCGATCCTTCAGAAATCACTCTAAAATGCTGATTTGCTGCTCAAGAAATATTTCTTATTACTATCAATGTTGAAAACAGTTGTGCTGCTTAATATTTTTGTGGAAACAATGATTGATTGATTTTTTCCCAGGATTCTCTGATGAATAGAAAGTTCAAAAGAACAGCATTTGTTTTAAATATTTAAATAGTCAAAACTTGACAAAACTTATTTTAAATAGTCTTTAATGGCAAACTTGGAAATATAAATTTAGTGTTTAGTGAAAAGTGTTTGATTATTGCTTCAGCTGCTGGAAAGCTTGTTACTGAAAAGCTACTCTACTTCAAAAGAAACAATATATGATACAAAAAACAGTAGTGTCACTACTTTTAGTTACTTGTCCTTGTTTTAGTAAGTGTTGTTTACAATAGTGATGATAACTGCTTTTGTTTAATCTTTTCTTTTAGCCAAACTTGAAATGTTTCTTTTCTGACTTCTTTTTCCATTCTTGTCGGTAGATCCCAGCTTGTTACTGAAAAGCTACTCTACTTCAAAAGAAACAATATATGATACAAAAAACAGTAGTGTCACTACTTCTAGTTACTTGTCCTTGTTTTAGTAAGTGTTGTTTACAATAGTGATGATAACTGCTTTTGTTTAATCTTTTCTTTTAGCCAAACTTGAAATGTTTCTTTTCTGACTTCTTTTTCCATTCTTGTCGGTAGATCCCCACAGACCGTACGATGGTTGTCGGTGGAGTTGTGGGAGGAGGAGACACTTCCGATCCCCCAGGAGGTCAGTTGAGAAAACGGCGTCAGCGCTATGTGGAAAAGGACGGCAAGTGCAACGTCCACCACGGAAACGTGCGCGAAACCTACCGTTACCTGACGGACATCTTCACCACACTCGTGGACTTGAAGTGGCGCTTAAATCTGCTGGTCTTCACCCTGGTCTACACTACCACCTGGGTGTTTTTTGGCTTCATTTGGTGGCTCATCGCCTACATCCGTGGAGACCTGGACCACACTGATGACAACGAGTGGACACCGTGTGTCAATAATCTCAATGGCTTCGTCTCAGCCTTCCTTTTTTCCATCGAGACCGAGACCACCATTGGTTATGGGTACCGTGTCATAACGGACAAATGCCCTGAGGGCATCATCTTGCTTCTGGTGCAGGCCATCTTGGGCTCCATCGTCAATGCCTTCATGGTGGGCTGCATGTTTGTGAAAATCTCACAACCAAAGAATCGCGCCGAAACGCTCATGTTTTCTAACACAGCTGTGATATCCATGCGGGACAGCAAGTTGTGTTTGATGTTCCGTGTTGGTGACTTGCGTAACTCACACATTGTGGAGGCCTCCATCAGGGCAAAGCTCATCCGCTCCAAGCAGACCAAGGAAGGAGAGTTTATCCCCCTAAACCAGACGGACATCAACGTGGGCTTTGACACGGGGGACGATCGGCTGTTCCTGGTGTCACCGCTGATCATTTGCCATGAGATCAACAAGAACAGCCCCTTCTGGGACATCTCTCAGGAGCAACTGGTGCGAGAAGAGTTTGAAATAGTGGTCATTCTGGAAGGAATGGTGGAGGCTACAGGTGAGAGTAGATCATGGAGAATGAGAGAGCGAGGGGGAGAATGAGTGCTGAGAAATGCCACTGTTACACTGTTATGTAGGCAAAAACATTTCTCCATTGACTGCCATTCAACAGGTGACATGTATTTTAGTTAGAAAACAAAGCTGATATTTATTTGCTATCTATCTATCTATCATCTAAATCAGGGGTTTTCAACCTTTTAGGACATGCACCCCTAGTTTTGGGGGGCTAAGGTGACAGATAGGGGGGCTGAAACCCACCTAAAAAGGGTTTAGAACCACCCCTGGTATAGCGTGTGTAATTATACTGAAACATAAATATATAACCAGTTTACCTGATTCAGTGTGATGGCTGAGCCTGTTTCTGAGATAACAACATGCCAATCCGTGGTTGGATTTCCGACACGGCTAATTGTAAATCATCGTACACTGTCAATAAGCGTGACCAGGGTTGCCAGGTTTTCACAACAAAACATGCTTAATTGCTACTCAAAACTAGCCCAAAACTACAAAACGCGGCAAGTGTTAAAGTAGCCCAAGACTTGGCAACACTGAGCGTGACTGATACTCGACCCAACTCTGCTGTAACTGTCGACTAGCAGTGGGAGTCAGGTTGCCCCCTAGTGGATGGCTAAAGATTTGTTAACTCATATTCATAAATTCTCAAGGGAACGTCTCTGAATTAACTGATGCCCGCGCCCCCCTGGTTGAAAACAACTGATCTAAATAATAACTTTGTATGATGAGAAGGCAGTTTTTTAAATCAATCTGTTGATCCAGTTCACAAAACTGAATGATTTGTTAAAAAATGGGAGTTCTTCAGTTTAACTGTCCGACTCACTGATCTGGTTGCAAAGGTTAAATGTTATCACAGAAACTCCGATTACTTGGAATATAGCACACAAGAAGTCACTTTTATGATACTATTACGGTGCTTTTGGGTCCTTCAAGCAGCTTGACAGCCCTAGTCCTCATTTACTTTCATTATACTGAAAGGGGTTCCCAGAATCCTCTTTAAAAATTCTCATTTTGTATTCCACGGTAGAAAAAAAGGTCATAGAGTTTGGAACAACATGACTGTGAGTAAATGTTTTCTGAAGTGATGCTAGATGCACAGGCCAAGTTACTGCCATTGAGATGAATGGGAATGGGAATGGATGGCTCTCTCCATGTATATCAGAGCTATTTGGATGAATCAGGAGTATTTAAATGGGTGTTGCCTGCAAGTCAAACATGAAAAGTGACCAGATTTACCACAGTTCCCCTGGTAACTGAATGCTGACAGCAGGGCGTGATGTGGTATTTTCATGGGATTCACTAATTATATTGACAATGAATTCATGTGACAGCAGTTGCAATTACACTATGCTAATTAGCTTTTGCATTGTGCTCTGTGTCAGTACAGACAGATATTGCTGCCTGCATGGAGCAGAAGGATGGAGGACTCTTAAGATGTCTCTCAGTAAGACAAGCTCATGGCCTGTCAATAGGACCGCCTCAGGGAAATTAGCGAGCAGAAGACAATTGAAAGAACTATAATGCAATTCAATCTCACACACACATAAATACACACACATGCTCACAAACACACTCTCTCCTACATCTAAAATAATGAATCATTGCTCAGGAGTGGGATGCAGTGAGTAGCTTGATTCAGTCCACAATCATCACTTGTTCAGTGCAGTTATACTTTTTTTGTCTCACATCTGACATTCAAGAGCATCCCACTTTCAGTCGATGTAGGTTTAACCAGTCTATTATTAGACAAAAAGCAGGATAACAGTAAAAGAATCAGTATCAGAAAATGATACTGAACTATTCAGGTCAGGATTTTACCTCAAGGCCTAACGAAATTGGAAAATTATAAAGAATAATGATTGATTTCATAAAGAAAGCCCTTTTTGGGGCTTTAAAGTGATAAGTAATGAAGGTTTAGGATTGGTAGCTTGGCCAATCAGGGTAATACCATCAGGGAGACAAGCGTAATGAACAGAGAGTTTGAGTCTCAACCTGAGCAACAACTCACTCTTAAAGAGATAGTTTACTGAAAAATTATCCTCAAGTTGTTCCAAACATTTACAAGATTCTTTCTTTTGCTGAACATAAAAGAAGATATTCTGAAGAATGTTGGTAACCAAACAGTTAATGGTAGCCATTGACTTCCATAATATTTTTGCCATACTATGGAAGTCAATTGCTACCATCAATGTCAAAAGACATTCTTTTGTGCTAAGCAGAAGAAAGAAACTCGTACAGCTTTCAAACAACTATAGAAGGTGAGTAAATGGACAGAATTTTCATTTTTCTGTGAACTATCCCTTTGAATGAAAATTTTTTCTTTGGATGAAAATCATTTACTCACAACCTTTTGTTGTTTCAAACCTGTATGACTTTATTCTATGGAACACAAAAGAAGATATTAAGATTTTTTTTTTTACTTTACTTTTCTTGTCCACGTAATGAGCATCAGTTGGGTCCAAAACAACACTGGACACTCTTGACTTTCATTATATGGATGAAATGAGACACTTTTCTAAATATCTTATTTTGTATTCCACATAAGGAAGAATGTCATACCAACTTGGAGAAAAAAAAGGTCACACTTTATTTTAAGGTGCAATTCTCACTATTAACTATCCATTAACTACGAATTTTGCCTGAAAAACTCCTAATTAGCTGCTTATTAATAGTTAGTAAGGTCGTTGTTAAGTTTAGGTATTGGGTAGGATTAGGGATATAGAATATGGTTATGCAGAATATGTGCTTCATAGGTACTAATAATAAGACAATATGCTAATAAGCAACCAGTTAATAGTGAGAATTGGTCCCTATACCAAAGTGTTACTGAAAAAAAATTATGCATTTAAATGTGAAGTCAATGGGACAAAGTATAGAGTGCTGACGGAATGACATTTTTATAGACCAAAATTTTATTTTACACCATAGACGTCCGTTATTTTAAACATGTTTTTTATAAACTCGGGGAAGAAATGATAGTCTGTGGTAGTGAATATCATGGCACAGATGCTGTTGAGAGAGCTTAACATGTGTTAAACCTGGAACAGACCCTTAAATAAAGCCTTTTAAACTGCCCACGGGGTGCTGCACTTAGCAGAACCTGTTGGTGCGGCCCTCAGAGGCTTTGAGATGTTTTAAAACCTCTTTCTTTTAATAAATTAAGGCTTCAGTTACAGTGAGGCTTTGGTTGTACTTCTGCTTGGGTTCTAGAATACTCTCATGTTTTAGATTTTTCCTGGGTGGCTGACAAAGCATTTTGTTCACAGTGAAATGGTTTTAAATGAACAGTTTAAAATGTCCGTATGGAGGTGTTTAAGTCAATTGCAGAGCATTATCAGTGAAAGTGAAGCTTCTCTTGCAGTAACTTTCATTGATTATATAGTTCGATGCATACCCTGTGTGGTTATTGAACTACTGCACACTGGGAATCTCATACATTTTGATGTGTTTGATGAATGATATCTGCTGAGTTTCCTAGATGTCATTTATATTCATTATGACAGCCTCTATTACTCTGTGTGTGTTTACTTGTGTGTGTTTGAAAGTGGTCGTAAAAGAGATGCTTGATGAAAGTATGTTCTGTTGCTCTGTTTGTCACTGCACGTCTCTGGAGTAATTGATGTGGTTTTTCGAGGTTCACTTAAGCAGATGATGAGAAAGCTTGTATTCTATTTTTAGGCGCTGTGCCCATAAATATTCAGCAGTGCATGTGCATGCATGTCTGTGCGTTTCATGGGAAACATGATATTCTCAATTAATTAAGCTTAAGTACATTCCTATTGGCATATTGAAAGGATCATTACTTACTTTAAAAGGTCAAAAGCACAATTAAACAGTGACCTTTAGATATTTGAAAAAGACATAATGGAACAGTTAGTTCTTCAGCAAATGTTATAAAAGTGGTTTTAATAGCCAATACTGATCTAATCTATATATATATATATTATTAGCTCATACAACAGCCCCAAAAAGTATTTGGAAACTTAAAGGTGACATATCATGAAAATCGGACTTTTCCAGGTTTTAAGTGCTATAATCAGGTCCCGGTGCATCTACCAACCAAGGAAACGTGAAAAAGATTAACCCACTAACTTTGCTTTGGTAAGCCTTTTTCTGCAAGCGTTTGAAAAAAACGATCGTGTCTGATTTCGCTCCCTTGGTGACGTGGCAAAGGGATCTCATTATAATAATACCGCCCCTTAATCTGTAAGTTTCCACCCACGGCGCCATCATTTGATTTCGCAAGCGACAACGGTGTACAGTACCAGTTCTAATGCCATGGTGAAAGTTTGAGCAAAACATGCTAACTGTTGTGTCTTTGGCTGCACAGAGACGAGCACAGAACACTATTTACAGTCCCAGCCTCAGAGGAGACAAAAGAGAGCAGTGGATTTATTGATTTATTTACTGTATATTGCTGCTGCCACAGATCTAAAATAAACATGCCATTTATTTCCCAGCTGTTTGCCTTCACAGACATAACCCGCTGTTTATGTAACTCGTGTGTTCTTAACGTAAACTTGTGTGTGAATGAGAACTTGGTTTAGTACTCACATGCTGTGACAGCCGCTTTCTGTACGTAAGCACTCAGAAATCCGTATATCAGAAGTTTAAACTCATATGGTTTAAAATGTATGATTTCATCGCGATAAACATGATAATCAGAACCAAAACAGATGTTTTTTAGCAGGTACAAGCTGCAAAGGCGCAGCTCTATTCTGGAAAAGGGGGCGGGGAGCAGCAGCTCATTTGCATTTAAAGAGACAGGCACGAAAAAACAGTGTGTTTCTGCTTCCACTCAAAATAGGCATTTTCAAAATGATATAATACATGATCCGTGGGGTATTTTGAGCTGAAACTTCACAGACACATTCTGGGGACACCAGAGGTATCTATCTATATATATAGGTAGGTAGATAGATAGATAGATAGATAGATACTGTTTTATCTCTTTTAGGTAATAATATATTATTATAATAATTATTACATAATTATAGTTATCTAAACTTTATTATCTACATTTTGTGTTTTGCAAAGTTTGCTGCTTAAGCTGTTGTGGTGTTCATTCACATTGTTTCTAAATTATTGTGTAGAGTGATCAGATGCATTTTAAATAATTGCTAAAAGCTTCATTGGCCAAAAAATGAACTTTTCAAAATAAATAAATCACTGTTTTTGATCCTGACACAAAATGACCAGCTAACATTGACTAATCATATCAGCAGCACATGTGGAAGTGTGAATGAGTACTAGTCTGGTGAAATCACTATCATACTAATTAGATTGTAAGAGCAGACTGATTGCTATAAAAGGAGGGAAGAAGCGCTTCCAATCATTGTGTTCTTGTTAGCAATGGTTACCGCCAAAGAAACACGTGCAGCCATCATCGCTTTGCATCAAAAAGGTAATGAATGGCCAAGGAAATTGCTTCAAAGAATATTGCACCTGAAAGAACCATTTACCAGATCATCAAGAACTTCAAGAAGAGAGGTTCGACTGCAGTGAAGAAGTCTTCAGGACGTCCCAGAGTGTCAGCTACAGATTCGTGTCTCCACCAGTGCAGAGCTTGCTCAGGAATGGCAGCAGGTTGGTGTGAGAGCATCTGCACGCACAGTGAGGCCAAGTCTTTTGGACAACGGCCTGGTGTCAATAAGGGCAGCAAAGAATCCACTTCTCCCCAAGAAAAACATCAAGGACAGACTGAAATTCTGCAGGAAGTACAAGGATTGGACAGCAGAAGACTGGTGCAAAGTTATTTTCTCTGATGAAGCTCACTTCCGACTGTTTGGGACATCTGGAAAATCAATTGTTTGGAGAAGAAAAGGTGAACGCTACCGTGAGTCCTGTGTTGTGCCAACAGTGAAGCATCCTGAGACCATCCATGTGTGGGTTTGCTTTTCAACCAAGGGAGTGGGCTCTCATAATTCTGCCCAGAAACACTGCCATGAATAAAGAATGGTATCACAACGTCCTGCAAGAGCGACTTCTTCCAACGATCCATGAGCAATTTGGTGATGATCCGTGCATTTTCCAGCATGATGGAGCACCATGTCACAACGCAAGAGTGATAAAGAAGTGGCTTGAAGATTTCAATTTTGGATCCGTGGCCAGGCAACTCCCAGGATCTCAATCCCATAGATCCCTTTGGTCAGTCCTCAAAAGGTGAGTGGACAAGCAGAAGCCCACAAATTGTTATCAACTCTGAGAACTAATAAGGCAAGAATGGATCGCCATGAGTCAGGATTTGGCCCAGAAGCTAATATCCAGCATGCCAGAGCCTCTTGCAATTCTGAGAAAAGAATTGTGAGGTATAAGGTCTGAATTGTGAGATTCTGAGAAAAAATAAGTAATTAACAAAAAAGTCGCAATTAACTTTATTTTTATTCCATGAACAACAACAAAAAAATGTCTGGAAGCTTGTATCTACCATGAGATAAAAAAATATTTAAAAAGGTAATTGTTAACTAATTCTAACTTTTTTCTCACAATTCAAATGCAAACTGTAAACTGAGAGATATAAATTCATAATTCTGAGAAAGAAAGAATGGAGGTGTTAACTGGAAATGGCAAGAAAAAGGTAAGAATTGCAAGATGTAATTAGTGCGATTAAAAGTTGCAATTACATTTTATATTTTAAATTTCATGGTTGAAAAAAAACTGAATTGCGAGATGTAAACTCTGAATTGCGAGGGGGAAAAAGGTCAGATTTTTGAATTTATATCTCACAATTATGACTATTTTTCCTCAGAATACCAAGAAAATAAGTCTGAATTGTGAGATAAAAGCTGCAAGTTCCTGTATTTATTTATTTTGCTTTTTTTTATCTCATGGCAGAAACAAGCTTCCCTAGCATTTTCTGTGTGAAACTGCTGGTTAAAAAAAACAAACACACGTTTTTCATTGCATTAATGAAGGACATTGCATTCCCTTTAAAGGGTGTGTTGAATATGCATAGAATATGCTTAAAATTGCACATCATGTCTGAAACTATATAGAAAACTGTAAAGAATATAATTTCTGAAACGAGTAGATTTTCTGTGTTTGCAAACAGCATCCTCTGCTGTTAGCGGACCTCACAAACGACCAGACGGAATGAGTGAGTTTTGCCAAAGGGTTATTTGTGGGAAATAATTATTACATTTCTTAGAATGACAGATATGTAACACAAACACTAAAAGTTGGATATTAACACCCAACAAACAGAACGCACAATGTAATTGTTTCTTGTTCATTTTATTTGAAATGTACTGTTGCTACTAGACTATTTGGTTAACTGAGTCATATTCTTCTGTCTCATTAATATTTCTGCTTGAGAAACACCCTCACTGTTATTTATAGCTCTTCTTTCGTTTTTTGTTTGTTTTGTTCAGTAAGTTTTTTTAAAACCAGATTTAATCAAATGTTTCTGTTTTATTTTACAATAAAGTGATTAAAATAAAAGATTATCCTTCTCAGACACTCAGTTTCTATGAGAATATGAAGTAAGAATTACAATGTGAAACAACATCTACAACCCCTTGCAAAAAAAAAAACGATTTAAAACGGTTTGTCTTAATCCAGCTTTGTCAACTGTTAAACCTAATATTATCATATGCAGTGGTATAAGCAATTAAAGCAAGTCCTGTTGGGCTCATTGTTTAATGCATGGCAGAGTATAAACAATGCTTTCTAATCACATCCCCTATGACTTCCAGTTACTTACACAAAGACGTTTTTAAGAGTGAGATTAACTGCTCTCCATGGCCTCTAAACTACTAGAACTGAATTTTTAAGGAATAGTGAATAATGCAAAGTACATTCGTCTACATATTTCCTCCCTCAAAGAAATTTCCCAGTGACCTTGCTGCAGAAACTCAGGAAACAAGAACTTTTTCCTGAAAAATGAGCTAATAAGCAACTGCACAGGTTTAGCCTTAAACAAATGTTTTTGTCGCCAATTTAATAGCAGAATTCAGCATGAAGTTATAGTCACCACCATTGCCTTTATTGTATTTCTTTCCTATCTTCCCTCTTTATAAAGTGATTCCTTGTTAATTAGGCCCGAGTCCTTTGAGTTTTGGTTTAAAGTCTGAGACCTAGCTGACTTGTTCTGTTTGTCTGGCCAAAACATGGTATTATTTCAGTTGTAATATGTATAAAACATACACTACCAGTCAAAAGTTCTTAATGTTTTTTAAAGAATGCTCTTCAGACTTTCTGACTCTAAAACTTTTGTAACATTACTCACTATACCATTCAAAAGTAGAAATTAATTATTTTATGCAAGGATGCTTTAAATGGACCAAAAGTGATGATAAAGACATTTATTAAGTTACAAAAGATTTCTATTTCAGAAAAATGCTGTTCCTGAACTCTCTATTCATCAACGAAACCTGAAAAAATTCTACTCGGCATAATAATAACAATAAATGTTTCTTGAGCAGCAAATCAGAATATTAGAATGATTTCTGAAGGATCATGTGACTGTAGTAGCGTAATGATGCTAAAAAATTCTTTGAAATTGCAGGAATAAATTACATTTTAAAATATATTCAACTAGAAAACAGCTAATTTATATAACCTAGTAAAAATATTTCACAATTTGACTGTTTTTGCTGTACTTTGGATCAAATAAATGCAGGTTTGGTGAGCAGAAGAGAATTCTTTAAAAAACATGAAAAATCTTACTGTTCAAAAACTTTTGACTGGTAGTGTGTGTGTAATATTGCATACGCTGTAATAAAATAGTATTCCTTTTTTATTTTTTTATTAATGCTCAATAACATAAGAACATTGTCAAGGAATTACATACAAATACACATAATAAAACAAAGAGAGAGAAAACTAAAATATTATACAAAAAAACAAAAGATGACAAGACAAGGAGACACAAGAATGCATACATTACCACTTTTGAAACAATAACATACAAACATTAATATACAGGGAAAGCTTTTAAATACATGTATTTTCTTTAAACATTTCTTCATAATATTTTATAAATCTTTGGGATTTTGTGTTATTTATATAACTAAGAGATTTAAGAAGTGATATTAATTCAGTTTCATTTCTTTTCTTGAATTGAAAGATTTGGCGTACATGTCTATTGGTACATTTCTTGTCTAAAAAATCAATTCCATCCAAGAACAAAGTAGATTGTATTGTGACTTTAAATAGTATTACCTGAAACACTGCCAATCACTTGAATGACGAAGTTGCATGACTTTATTGTAGCTGCGAAGTCTCCCACTAGATGGCGGAATAACGGAGCAAGAGCCACGGTTTTCTGGAGGTGCATTGTGGGAAAAGACGTTCCAAAAGCATGACACTTGAGCATTTATTAGGGAATGTTATTTTTGAAAAACACTGGGTTAAGTGAAAGAATTTAATAGGGTATTTTTTTTCTTCTCTTCCCTCTCCACTCCTTTGATGTCAGTCTAATGCCCGGCACACACTCCAGTCTAGTAGGTGGCGGTAATGCACCTTTGAGATGAGTTGCCAAACGCCATTAAACCTGAAAGAAGAAGAAGAAGAAAAGACGTTCGACTCACACATGTGGCCACCTGATCAGTGCAGAACAGTCTGGAGCAGAAGCAGCGGCAGCTGTTTGTAGAATTAAAACAGGATTATCCATACATAATAAAGTGAAATGAAACCAGGTAAGTTAATATTAGTTTTTTAATGCATATATGGTTGTTTTCATTGTCGGGCGATAAAATATTAGTGTTTAGAAGTGTTGGTTTTGCGCGCGTGTTAGCATTCCGGCCAAGTTAGCCACGCGCTAAAAGTTTTAGTGCTTAAACGCTCTGTCTCTGAAATGTAATGACATTGCTATTTTATTTATATTTCTAAACATATTATGGTGGCCATACTGTGTTACATATAAACATTATAAAAATGTTTTAATTTAGGCTAAACATTTTCTTGCGGTGCATAACATTGCGCGTTTGAGCAAGCGAGCCATGCTGCGCACGCGGTGCGGAAGCTCCACATGGCTTTTCACTAGATACGCTTTTGTTTCTAAAATCAGACTAGTTTACGAAGTTTTTTTTTTTCATTTGATTTTGTCTGGACGTTGTGCACAGGAGTGTTTTCATAGGCGAGTTTCCACACATTGTTGAGGACCACATGGGTTTAGGAAATTACCTTGTCTGACAGACCATCTTCATGTGGAGAACCAAGTAAAAACGAATAGTTTTGGTTTAGTCGACAACCTGTAACAAAAACATATTACACGCACAAACTAAAGTTACCAGTGAATGGATTTAAACTTTGTATACAGTTAGTTGTGGAGTCTAGTGGTTGAGGACATTTGAACACCAGGGATCTGTTGGTATCCTTGGTTCTAATTAGGGATGCACCGATATGAAAATTTTGGCCGATACCGATAACAGAAAAAATGAGCCGATATGGGCCGATACCGATATGGTGGCCGATATATCGTGCATCCCTAGTTCTAATTAATATGGTCTCAAATGGCATTTTTTGTGAGAACAGTCATAACTAAAGGCTTTTCTAATATTAGGTGTTAGTTAAAGCTGACTACAGTTTGAAAACATTTAATGGTGTGATATTTGATTACAGTATACTTTTTGCCATAAATGAAGTCTTAATGTGATCCATTCAGTGAATTAATATATTTGACTCCTTTTGACAGAATTCAGCCCAAGAGGAGGCTTTGGAGGAAGAGGAGGCGGCTTTGGAGGAAGAGGAGGTGGCTTTGGAGGAAGAGGAGGAGGCGGTGGTGGCTTTGGAGGAAGAGGAGGTGGCTTTGGAGGAAGAGGAGGAGGAGGAGACCGGGGTGGAAGAGGAGGATTTCGAGGAGGTAGAGGTGGTGGCGGTAAGCAAGTTTGTTTGTTTGTTTGTTTGTTTTTCTTTTCATTATATTTCCTTTATATATATATATATATAATTCTGGTGTTGTATGTTATTGCTTGTAACATTTGGCTAATACATGGAAGTGTTGGTGTGTATGTTTATGTATACAAACACACTGAGATACAACTATTTGAAAATTGAGAAAATCGCCTTTAAAGTTTTCCAAATGAAGTTCTTAGCAATGCATATTACTTATCAAAAATTAAGTTTTGATATATGTACGGTAGGATATTTACAACATAGCTAAATGGAACATGATCTTTTCTTAATATTCTTATGATTTTTGGCATGAAAGGAAAATCGGTAATTATGACCCATACAATGTATTGTTGGCTATTGCTACAAATATACCCCTGCTACTTATGACTGGTTTTGTGGTCACATGTACACATACATACATACACACTGCCATTGAAAAGTTTGGGATCAGTACGATTTGTAAGGTTCCTTCTCGAGCTTTCACGAGACATCACGGATACATTTCTCCATTATGGGAACTCCTTCCCTTCCAACCTTTCCTGAAGTCCTATTGGCTCACGCCAGTCCAAGTGACTGGCCAATTGCCGCGAAATATGCAAATCGCATGCAAATACTGACGCGCTCGAGAGGCAGTATAAAAGGCGGTGCACATGACAATTACGTCAGAATCTGAATCTTCTCCTTAACTTTGCTGAATAACGTAAGAATATGGCTTATAAACTATTGCAGCTCACTTAAGGTTCGCTCATCAGAGGGCGGTGCCTGGATTGCCGCTCCTCTGCAGCGTTCAGGTGAGTATGTCATTTTTCTTCAGATGCTAGATGAGTCTGTCTGCCCTCTATCAGTGGTGGACCATAAGGAGTCGCATTCCTCTCACCCATCGAACCTGCAGGACATCAGCCCGGCTTCTCACGTCCCCCTTCCATGGCGGAGCGGAAAGC